AACTTTAGGTTATCCCGGTGAAGGGCCTCCTTCCCCTTGTCAACCAGGGTGGAGCCTCTGCACTGCCAACATTGGCAGCCTCCGTACGTCGACTATCTGGAAAGGGTCCGAAGATTCTGAGTGGTGTCTCCAAGAAACCCGTATTGGGAAAAACAATGTGAGGAATTCCTCTCGTATGGTCCAAGAAACTGGTCGGCATCTTTTTTGTGGCCAACTCATGTCTGGGATCTTGCGTGCAAATGGTGTCCACACGACCATGCACGGTGGAACCGCCGTTGTGGCCTCCGATGTCCATACTAGGCCCTTTCTTCCAGAGCATGATGCCACAGGTAAGTACAAGGGTGTTTTTGACTCGAAACGGGCGAACGCCGTTTGGACCCAAGTTACTTCGACCATTCGGGCTCTAATTTTTTCGGTGTACGCCAAATCAGGCGCTTCCGCCTGCACAGAAACCTTCAATCAGAATGATCTCCTTTTGCAGGACATTTTCGAAATCATTTCCCAGTTCGGTGACATTCCGGTCATTGTTGCCGGGGATTTCCAGGTTGAACCGTCTAATTATCCGTCGGTCGCCACGGCAATCCATTTTCACCGATGGCATGACCCCCTGGTTCAGGTTGATGAGGAAGGCAACTTGTTTCGCCCCCTCACTTATTCTAGAGATGGCACCTTCACGGGTCATGGTGACTATTGCACCTCTATCGATGCTATCTTAGTCAACCATGTGTCATTTGCTGCACTGCAATCCATTCAAGTTCTTGAAATCCTTGACCTGCAGCACAGGCCAATTCGAGCCGTCTTCAATTGGGAGCCCATTCTGCTGTGTGGGGATGTCCATCTTAAGTTTGCTCCATTGGACACAAGTACGCTCCCTAAACCACACTCCCCTGAAGCCGTTCAATTCGACCAGCGTGCACGGATGTGTTGGGATCATATGGGATCATCAATTTGCCCCTCGTTTTCATCAATCTCTTGATGTCCGGGACCAATGGGACATTGTTAATCAATTCTGTGTGGAAACCCTCACGGGAGAGGGTGCCTCATGGGGTTTTGGTAAACGTACTCGAGGTGAACTTCCAATTTTCACCCAGAAGAAAATTTGTCCAGGTCAGCTCCCTTCAGGAATTGCAAAAACACTCAAGGGGTCAAAGCTTTTCAACACGAGACACCGGTTGATCGAGCTCTTCACTCGAGTTCAGCGTCCTTCCAGTAAGCCCAGTGATCGATACATTTTCCACCGTACTGCCAAGAAGGTATGGAGTGCCCTGCGAGATTTGCAATCTCCCTTTCTTTGGGAAGTTCGGCACCAACCCTCGATGCTTGACATTTACCGTAACCTCACGTGGATCTCTGCTCAAGCCACTGAGTGGGAATTGCAAAAGAAGTTTCAGAGAATCAATGCCTGGAAACACAAGTTGCGTGAGTCCGCCAAAGGAGACTGTAAGTATATCTTTCAGCACTTAAAGAATAAAGCTCGTGATGAACCTGCTAACCTTGTCATGGATAATCAGGGTAATATTGTTTGCAATCCGTCTGATGCTATGAACTTGATTTCCCAAACATGGGACCAAGTTTTCGGTGTGAATGCTCTTCATGAGGACCCGGTTGAAATGTTGAGGGTGATTTGGCCCTACATCGATCATGATGTTCCTGCCTTTCATCTTCCTCCCTTGACCGGTGACGACATTTACACAACAATTCAGAAAAGGAAGGTACATGCCGCCCCTGGCCTTGATGGCTGGCGCACTTCTGATTTGCAAGCACTGCCACGAGTTTGCTGTGATGTGATTGCAACTTGGTTCAACCAGCTTGAATCGATGCTGGACTTCGACTTGCCGCAGGTGTTGACTAGGGCAAAGCAAGTCATCTTGCATAAACCCGGGCCGCCGGACCCCCTAAATAAGCGACTCATTACAGTTTTATCCCCTTTGATCTTAGCCTACACAGGCACACGGTTTCGTCAGTTGCAGCATTGGCAGCAAGAGGTTTTACCGATGCAACTGTGTGGGGGCATCGCCAACCGCACTATGTCCTCGATCAGTGTTGGTCTTAGAACCGAAATTGATATCGCTGTAGCCAACGATGAGCATATTGTAGGTATTAAGCTTGACCAATCCAAGTGCTTTGATAGGATTTTGCCTCAATTTGCTGCAGCATTGTTTTTAGCCTTTGGCCTCCCTCGAGGTATTGTCAACATCTTTGTAAAGATGTATCAGGGCCTTGCGAAACACCTCTCCTATCGGGGATGGGTCTCTGCCAAGGCAGTCACATGTGCTAATGGGGTTGCCCAAGGGTGCAGCTTCTCCCTCTTGGCCATCAATGTCTTCATGGCGGTCTGGGTAAAGTTTATCCATACCATCCCCCATGTGGTTGCAAGGGTCTTCATTGACGATGCTTACTTGTGGGTCTCCGTTCAACACATTGCTAATTTGCGCATTGCTCTTCAGGTCACAGAACAGTGGACTCTCCTGTTGGGACAGAAACTCAATACTGCTAAAAGTACTTTGTGGGCCACATCCAAACATGCACGTTCACTCGCCAAGCAAGCTTTCCCGGCTATTCCGCTTTCTTGTGAATTTGACGTTTTGGGGACCAAGATGTACACCTCAGTAAGGAAGTCCTTCCTCTTTCCTGAAAGCAAGGTTGACTTGATTTGTAATGATGTTCGCAACATTGCTGCTCTACCTGTGTCACACACGACACGAGCCAAACTCATCGCCACCAAGGTGATCCCGCAGTGTACTTTTGCAGCTGATGTTTCTGATGTTCCTAAAGCGGCCCTAAATCGGCTGCAGAGTGCTATTGTGACGGCCCTCTGGCACAACCGACCGCATTGGAGGTCTAAAATGCTTGTGTTTTGCTTCCTGGCTCAGCCTTGTCTTGTAGAACCGACGGTTGCTCGTGCCTACACTGCTGTTCGTAATGTTTGGCGCTACATCCATGCTCATCCAACCACTATTCAAGTGTTGCGAGACAATTTTGACGCTTTCATGCAAAATGCACACAGCCTTTTGTTTCATTTTGCGCAATCGCTGAAGGTGTTCAAGTTGGGTCTTTTCCCTGACCTTCGCATTGGGATTGGGGACATTCGTTTTGAAATCCTGTGGATTGCACCACGTGACCTCAAACCTTTCTTGTATACAATGGGCCAGCAATACTGCTATGAACTTGCGTCCAAAAAAGCAAGAAAGGATTTTCACAAACCCACGGGACTGATTGACATGTCCCTTTCCACCATGTTCCGTCAAGTGCACAAAAGATATCCTGATTCCTTTCAGCTGTTGGCACCGCATTTTGATGCACAAATTGTTGGGTGCACGGTCACAAACGACCGACGATGTGCAGCAGGTTTCTCCGACTCAGCTTTGTGTAGATTCTGCGGACTCACCAAAGAATCACTGCAGCATCTAGTGTTTGAGTGTGGATCTTCCCCACTCGCTACTAAGGACCTTCCGCTACATGAGCTCGGCCCGAATTTCGGGAAACTTGGCATTGTGGAACATCCACCAGCCATTGTTGACACCAGGTTGCAAGTCTATCCTTGGGACCAATCTGAGCAGGTTGTTTTCTGCCCGAACAACCCGGTCACGCACTTATGGACAGACGGATCTGTCGTGCTTGCCGATTCGTTCTGGTTAGCATCTGCAGCCTACGCCATTGTGAATGATGATGCAGTTTGCATTGAGTGTAAACCTGTTTTTCATTTTGCAATCACTCCATACGCTGCTGAATTATATGCAATCCTTCGTGCAGTGGCTCGCACAGAGGGCCCAGTCGTAGTTCACACTGACTGCCAAACAGTTGTCGATTTGTTTGAGGAGTTCAAGAACCTTCCCGGTATCCCTCTCACCTGGAGTCATCGACCATGGTGGCTTGTGCTGTTTAGCTTGTGGCAGGATCGGCGCCAAGTTCACTGTGACCCGGTTTTGCTCCAATGGCAGAAAGCTCATATTTGTGATGATAAACCTCTTGCAAATATTGTGGATTCTGATGCTGCCCCTTTTGGACTGACACGACACGAAGTGGTGTGCAACAGAGTCGCAGACGAGAGCGCCAAACGCTTAGCCCTTGAGCGTGCTGCCATTCACCCTGCTCTTGCTCCCAAGCTCAAGGAGGCTGTTTATCAGAGACAGTTGGAACTCACAAAGCTCAACCAGGTGATTGGGTTGGCAGCTCCGAAAGTTTCAATGTTCAAAACCAAGGAAGATGATGAACCTTTGGATGATCTTGCTTCCTTACATCGCCGGTTTCCCACATGGGAATGGAGTCCGCCTGAGGAAGCTTTTTCATGGGTCCCATGTTCCAACCAGGACATCGTTCAGGCCCTTGAAGACAAGATTGGTGTGGGTGACGCACGGTCCATCCTTGCATTTTTGAGTGGTTTGCGCTGGCGGGTTCAACCTGAAGACTCGGTTGCATATGTCGAACTGACCTTTCTCTTTTGCGCCCGTCATTTCACACTTGAATCTGTTATGGCCCCCAACACCACCTTCGTCGAGGTTCTCAAAGTTGTGAAGAAGGCGTGCTCGTTTGTTTTCCATCGGCCCCCACAAGAGCTTCTTCCGGGTCGGCACGAGTCCACCCTGATTCACAAATGTGGACGGGCGATCCCCAAGGGATCCATTTACGGGGCCCGCCCCCTCTTTTCCACTTCCGGACTTGAAGCCTATGGGCGGTTACTTTTGGATGGGTGTGGTCAGAAGATTACATCCTGGGCCTTTGACGTTTCGGCTTGTGTTTCTAATTAGGTGCATGTTCTTCATGTGCAGTGACCTGTATCGATCGGACCCGTGAGTCCACGATACTGCATCGGGACGTGATGCAAGAGAGATGGGAACAGATACCAAAAAGGATGAAAAAGGCTAACCTTTGTTCCAAGGAACCTGAGGGAGTCGGCACGTGGAGTTTGCCAGTGTGAGCAGGTTTGCTTCATGTTTTGTCAACTTCATTGGACGCGTATGGCGGTCAGCGGACTTCGTGTTGTTCCCCTCAGCAGTGAGGTGGTGGAAGCTGCCACAAAAGAGGAAGAGGCTGGACTGGACCTTGTGAGATTGGACCAGTTGGTTGTTTGAGGTCACATGCAAGTCACGCCTATAAATGAGAACCCTTTGTTCCAAGCAAGTACGAAGGACCAAGGACCCATGCGAAAGGAGGACCCTACTGCACTGTTTAGTGGAAGATTGATCTAATTACCTGTCAAACCAGCTAGAAGTGAGGCTGGAACCAGGCGGCTGGGCACTTCTTTCAAGGAAACATCTTGAGCAATTTTAGCTTTGAGAGTGCCTTCCACGTTTTCTGGGACATGTCTATCGATTCGAACGTCTCGCTGTTCCTCCCCCGGAATCCTGCGGCGGCCTTACCACCGTGAAACAGAGTACCTTACGCGGCCTTAGCGTCCCGCAGAGTGCCCGGGGCCGCTGCCCGTCGTCGCTGCTGGCGCGCCATGGCACAGCTCGCGCTGGCGCAGATGGCCACCGGGCTGGTCGATGAGGAAGAGGACGGAAGCGGGGGGTAAGCTAGTAGTAACAAGTGCATCGCTAGTAGTAACAGGTGCCTTACTAGTAGTAACAGGTGCCTTACTAGTAGTAACAAGTGCATCGCACGACAAAGGATGGCACTGCCGAACTTGGGCGGCAGAATGAACTAGCCATGAGGTACCGGTGTTGAGTCCTGAAGATCAATATGAATGCAGTGGCATGAATGTGCTGCATAGGGCTTGTATATATTTGATCACATATAGAGATGTCGTCATTGTTCAGCCCTGCTCCCTTCTTGTTCCTGTGCTTCTGGATTGCGCACATGCTTCCTCCGTGACGCATGGTTAAGTGCACTCAGAGGTTACCAAGTTCGCGCACTGACAACATCCGACACCCAAAAACTGGTCCAAATATGTCCAAATGACTCCATGAAAAGCTAGCCATGCTGGCCCCACATGGCCACTGGATGGACCAACACACTTCTTCCGGGCGTGTGCCAGAATACTAGGAATACAGTTATATTTGATACTTGGCACAACTCAAGTCCACCTAGAAACTCTATCTAGAATCTAAACTAAGGATGCGTGGGCAAAATGCCGAAAATGCCGAAAAATGCCTTCGGCAGGAGTTCCCTGAGCCGGTGGCCGACCAGAACTTGAACCGAAGGAAGGTCTTAGATCTGCAGCATGAGATCAACCAGCTGCAGATCCTCGCTGCAAGAAGCTTTCAATCGCTGAGAAGCTGGACCAGCTGGAGCTGGGGAGTGGAGGAGCTCATATGAGCTCATCATGGAGGGAGTACATCTGGGAAGTGGCCCACATGGAACCGGGCGACCGGCATGGACCTGACTGGAAGACGAAGACTTCCTCTACGACCCGACGTGGTGAACTCAGGTTCCATGTGGGTCTCGAAGCCAGGGCGTAGGGCATATTAACAGACCCTCACTTAGTGCCTTTTTCAAGGCAAAGCGAGAAGCTACTAGGGGCTCCTGGCCTGACCACTAGGAACAAGAAGCTACGAGTAACAAGGGCATCGCTAGGAGCAAGCACCCTAACAATGCTTGGAGCCTCCATGGCATCGAACACAGCACCTTCGCAGGGGTGACCGATGACCAGAAGATCAGATCCTTCCCATTGGATGTCCAGGCCTATTGTTTCCTGATGTTTCCTGTTTAGGTAGCTACTTGTACCGTAGACCATTTTGTACAATCTGTTGTTGTACTTTCTCTCTCTCTCTCTCGCTGATCCCAAGAGACGGGTCGAAATGGGCAGAAGAGTCACCGTCCGTGTTGTTGCCGAGGAAGTTGTCACTGAAGCATCATGAGGCGGTGACACATCTGGAAACTGGGCTCAAAACGATGATCTCAGAGGCCGCTTGGATGGAGTCGACACGAAGCGTTTGGATGGGACGGTGGATGGGTAGGTGGGGAACATGAAAGAAGACCCACAGACTCCATTGACCCCCCTGGCACCACCCCAATGTATGTCGTGTTTGGGATCTGGAACCCTGGGGCTCCTGGCCTACCTCCTGATGTTCGATGGTTATGGTGGGTGCCATGGGGGATGAATACCACCGAACCTGAGGAGATGGGCCAGGAGCCCTAAGGGAATGTCACTACACGAGCCATGAGTCGCGAAGCGCGACGCCTTATGTCGGTCGTCCGTTGCCCGTGAGTTGGGTGAGTTGCCTCGACCGACTTGGACACCGAACCGGCACGACCTACCTGGTATTAATGATTCGCAACATGGTGTAGATATTGGTGCTTCTAGGTGAAGAGACCCAGTCCCAAATGGCACGAAATCCATGAAAATCATCAGCTCCACACATGGCAAATCAGTTCTGTGCCTCTTTTTAGACATCCACTTCCTAATTGTAGAATACCCACTTGTAAGGACCCTCCCGGCGGTTCATAAGCTTTCTGGAGTGTCCACGCACCACCCAACTCCTAGGCATCCTGGCACGCAACTCTCAGCAGAGGTACAACAACATTGAATCAGTCAAAGGTGTTTCAGAAGTATTCAGAATTACTTGTACGAAAAAGGCCAAATCGGTTCAAAGGAACATCGGAACATCTATACCATTGTTTTGGGTGTGATTTCAGCATGGTTCCTGTGGGCTGCCCCTCCCAAAAGCCAATTCATTGTGTATAGATAGATAGATAGATAGATAGATAGATAGATAATAGGATATAGGATTTTCCCTTGAACCCATTCATTGAATATGGCCCACTCTGAGTAGGCCCCCACTTGGCACTCTACTACGGTCTCTCGGCAGAGCCCGCTCGCGAGACTCCCGAGAGACTCCCGAGGTGCATCTTCGACGCGCCCTGGGCTTGGCCTTTCAGGAGTTTGAGAATCGGATCGAGGATGCGACCGGGGCTGAAGGAATCCTTTTTGCGCGGTCGGGGCGGTCTTGAAGCGGTCGACCGGGCTGAAGGAATCCGATGGAAGCGGTTTGGGCGACCTTTGTACATGTGAATGATCTCGAGTCTCGACGGTTGAAACACCACATCGAGTCTCTACGCGATCGATCAAAGCAACACGACGCGACCCGTAAAATGAGCGGTCTGTGGTGTGACACGTGCTGTGCTTGTTCCAACGTTCTGTCAGTTACAAAGAAGAAGGGGGACGTCTTCATCGACATGTGAAAAGACATATATAACCTAGATCAAAAAAGATCCCTCGAGGTTGGATTAGGGCGTTTGGAGATGAAGGCAGCTGCTCTGGATATTTTCTGACGATGATCGTCAAATATTCCTACAAGCTTACAAACACGTGAAGAAGGGTGAGATAAATGGTGAGATCCACCATTCCGATATATTGGCCCGGTGCAAAAAAGAGAAGAGTCATGGAGATCCTCGTTTCGACGGATCTTCATGCATTGTTTCCAGACATCCAGTTGTGGTTTCCAGACATCCCGTTGTGGTTTCCAGACATCCAGTGTGGTTTCCAGAGAGTCTAGTTTTGAGACGAACTTAGTACCATTGTCAGATTGTCAGTGAAACACGGGTATTTCTGTGCATGTATTTATAGTGCACCTTTGACCTCTGATTGCTCGCTCTCTGTTCATCATTATCTGACAGCGCCGGGGATCTCAGCACACCTCAGGCTTTTCAAGACTCCAATCGAAAGTGCCTCTCCATGTTCTCCAAGAGACGCTTGGTGCAGAGCGAATGGACCCGGTTGGGCAAACGTGGGGCTACTTTGGCAAGCGCAGTGGGTGAATGAATAAGGCTCAAACCAGGATCATCAGAGCCTGCAATGTGTGGTGTTCTGTTTTGATACACGTGGTGCTTCCATTCCGGTGCCAACATGACCTCCATATATAGGGTGAAGGAGCTATATATGGAATCAGTGACAGGATTTATTAACTTACAAATGGCAAAACAAATGAAATCATTCTTGCCTCGTTTGTTTTTCTTGCCTCAGCATATGCCAAGGAGAGGGGAATGGATGGGAATGGAGGCATTCTACAGAACTCTTGATCCCAAAAAACACCATATGACGTGGTCGTTCAATCCAAATGGATTGAGTCATATTGAGTCCTACTATAACCTCAAGTCTACATCCCAGATGATTCATGGGACTGGATGCCGAGAAACGGGCAGGGGTGGTGCCGAGGGGGGGGGCCCAAATGGGTCGGCAGCCCTATGGCAGTCCCATGGAGTGTATGGGCATGATATGGTCGTTTTGATGGCCCACCCGCTTCCTCAGCCCTTGCAGGAGAAGATGTGATTGAGCTTCAAACGCTCGTCACAAAGAAGGTGAACTGGGCAGATCCTTGGTGCACGAAAAAGCGCTCCGGGTTCATCGCCCGACCCATTGGGATGAAGATTGCGTGCATTGATGAATCTGGCTGCATGCTGATGTATAGATAGAAACCCTAGGGCTCCAAGTACCTTCTGAGGTCATGAGGTAGGGCCTTTGGCAAAGGAGGCTACATGGAGGCTACTTCGAGACTTCAAGCAGGTCACATATACGGAAGGTCCTGGAAGTGCATTTGATCACGCAAAGATGAGAACTTGGCCACGAAACTGCTGGCAGGGTGAGCGAGAAAGACGGAGAATTTTTGGGTCCCCCTGAGTCCGGAGAAACACACCTCAAAACGCGGTGTTCTCCAGGAACTGGATGGCTGCATGGGATATCCAACTCACAAGGCCGTGCATTTCCGTGTTCAGATGAATAGCTGCTGCGTTTCCACACGACGTCAGTAGCAACATGCAGTCCCATTACAAACTCCAAGTAAGTTGGAGGGTGTCGTTGGCATGAACTTTCACAAATCATGTTTCGTGGGTTGGTTTCACGAGCTGTCCCTGGCCCCCATGATATAATGATTGTCAAGTCTCTAGGGCTCCTGGCCCACCTCCTGAGGTTCGATCGTTTTGGTGGGTGCCAGGGGGTCTAACCACCTTCTGAGGATATGGTTGGAGGGATTGGGGAGTTAAATGAGTGGAGTTCCAGCCAGCCCGTTTCTAGAGCAATCTTCGATCAGCCGGGGTGGCCAGTGACACTCGGCAAAGGAATACAACGCCGTGTTGAAGAAGCTCGCAGATC